TCCTACCTCTCCCCCCCCCTCTCCTCTGTGTGTTTCTTTGCACAGGCCCGATGCACCACGGACCCTGGGTGCACCCGCAGCGGAAGACGCGAGCCAGGCCCCGGGCGACGACCTCTCCCCCTCCAGTCTTCGAGATCTCCACCCGGAACTGCTTCGCTCCACTCCACGCTGTGATCGTCGGAGACTCCATCATCCGGCACATCCATGCTATGATAGCTGAAGGCAAAGTGCACACCCACAGTTTCCCTGGTGCTCGTGTTCTCGATGTTTCTGCACAGATACCCGCGATCCTGAAGGGCGACGAGATCCCCGGAGCGGTCGTGCTTCACGCCGGGGTTAACGACACAAAGCTGCGGCAGACGGAGACACTGAAGAGGGACATCGCCCGCGATGATGATCATCGTGTCAGGATGAAAACGTTCCCACGTTTCGACGAGGACACGAAAGGTTCAGAAGACTTCTTGCTTGAATGGATGAATGGTTATTGTCATGGTGTAAAGAACAGAAACTGCTCTTTGTTAATAATTGGAATCTTTTCTGTGAGCATCCTAGGCTTTTTCGTGCTGATGGCCTGCACCGGAGCGGAACTGAGTCGGAGCGGAACTCCTGTCGGACAACATCTCCAGGACGCTACGCTCCATATGACTAGTAAGTCAAATCTCAAATAACTGCCATAATGACTTTTGTTCTATCTGCTTAAATGATAGAAGTACTTGCGCTGTCCAATCTATAAAGACTGTGTCTGTTCCCCAAATAGTGAGGTAAAAATATAAATTTAATGCAGGATCTAGAAAAAATCTGAATCTGAAAATCTGCTTAAACCAGAAAAATGTCAAATAAATGAACAAAATTTTTTTTTTAAAGTTTGGGCTCCTAAACAATAGATCACTCACACCCAAAGCAGTTATTGTAAATCAAATTAGAACAGATAATAGTTTTGATGTACTCTGCTTGACTGAAACCTGGCTAAAACCAAATGATTATATTGGTCTAAATGAGTCTACTCCACCAAGCTACTGTTATAAGCATGAGCCCCGTCAGACTGGTCATGGCGGCGGTGTTGCAACAATATATAGTGATATTCTCAATGTTACTCAGAAGACAGGATACAGGTTTGAATGAATGAATGATGCATTTATATATGTCACCGGGCCCACTCATCGTTTTAATCATACGCTAGATTTAATTATATCGCATGGAATTTATCTTACTGATATAGATATCATACCTCAAAGTAATGATGTTACCAACCATTTTCTTGTATCGTGCATGCTGCGTATTACTGATATTAACTATATGGCTCCATGTTATCATCCGGGCAGAACTATTGTTCCAGCTACCAAAGACAGATTCACAAATAACCTGCCTGATTTATCTCAACTCCTCTGTGTACCCATAAATACACATGAACTAGACGAAATAACTAGCAACATGGGCACTATCTTCTCTAATACATTAGAAGCTGTTGCCCCCATCAAATTGAAAAAGGTTAGAGAAAAACGTACTGCACCATGGTACAACAGTAATACCCATT